CCGCCACGCGTGTGCCGCCCTTCCCCCTCCTTCTCCCAACGGTTGCTCTCCTGTGACGGTCAGCAGTTCACGATCGCATGGGGATGACGAGTCTGTCATCCCCCGAGTGGAGTCCAGGGTGAGGAGCCTTGGAGGGTCGTTGAGTTTGCGTGGGTGTCCAGAAAGGGCACTTGACCTTGGGTCACCTCCTCTGTCCTGCGCAGTAGACCTCAATGCCCTGGATTACTGTTCTTGCACCCTAGGTGGCGTCTGTCACTGGGTGTCTTCCTAACCCGCGTGGCACAGCAGGCATCTCCCTGCCAGAGGAGTAAGTGGGTAAGTGAGTTTGCAACCTGCTGCCCGGCTTCTTCCTGTCTTGGAGATCCGCAGTGCACTGCGGGTCAGGGTGCCCTGGACACATAAAATACTTGACCCCCAGCAGGGCCCGGCTGCCAGCCATGGCGATCCAGTGCTGCTGAGAGCGCTGCCCTTATGAATGGGCTGCACACCAGACGCTGACAGGAAGACAGTACAGGTTGCTTCAAAAGAAAAGAGCCCCGAGTCTTGTTTAAACTGGCTGTGTATTTGGCCTTTGAATGCTTCCCTTTTTTTAAAAAAAAAAATCATCTGTTAGGATATGTTTAGAAAACCTGCTGGGTGGTAAAAGAAATCTGCTTATTTCAATTCCACAAACATTTGCTGAGTGCCTAATATGTGACAGATACATGCTCCAGGGATCTGAAGATAAATAAAACGTGGCCCGGCAACTCCAGGTGCTAATAGTTGAATGGGAAAGACAGACACGTAAACAGATGATGTTCATATAATACCATGCCCAGGGAACAGCCGAGGATTATTTAGCTCAACCTGGGGGTTTGGGGAAAAGTTGCCTGCAGAAAATGATTGCATTGAATTTATGAGAAGCAGAGTTAACTTAAAGCGACACACGCTGGGAGGTGGAATGAGGTTGGGGCCAGAGATCGGGAGCCTGGACAGAGAATTTGGATGTCTGCATGAGTGACAGATCTATTCTGAATGGATCATGGTGACTATAGTAGGAAGAGGAGATATACAGGAGGCACAAGACTGCAGGTAGAGAGATCAGATCCTGTCCCCAGCTCGCTTCCTTAACTTCCAGCTACACAATAGAGCCTGCATCTCTTTCCTTGAGGGCTTCCGCAGGTCTCCAGGCTGGAAGTGCCGGGGAACTGACACCTGCTAGGAGCAGCCTTTAATGAGTGAGTGCCAGGAACCCATGTCCAAACATCCCAAGTCCTCAGTGGGACAACGAGATTCACACTGTACACCAGCCTCCAGGTTTCCCTGCAGGGTGAGGCTCCAGTTGCCAGCAATAGTAACTTCATCAGTAGAAGAATTCACGCCTGGCTGATCGCCCTTTTCCCTCCGCTTCCCCACTCCCTGCTAGAGTTTCCTGGCATCATCTCCCCGGTAAACTGCTTACACTCAAATCTTTGTCTTAGAGTCTGCTTCTGGAGGAACCCAATCCCAGGTGGGATTTGCTACTGAATGGATGTGGGAGTGAGGAAGAGGAAGACGTGCAGGAGATGCTGTGGGTGTGGTTTCCTTGGCAGCACGGACAAGGGAAGCCAGGAAGAGAGGCAGACTTGGTGGAGGGAGTGGTGACCTCGGGGTTGAGGCAGGTTGGTGGCAACTCCCCAGGGGACCTTTTCGAAAGCATTGAAATAAGACTCGGACAGTTATAGCAGCTCTCAATGTACATCTTTTCCATTTTTGGCAATCTGATCAGTTTGTTGTTTAATCTTAGTTGAAGTTTAAGTGAAAGGGAAACTTGTGGAGAGCAGGCCACATCCAGGAGTGGGTATGTATTTGTGTGTTTCAGACAGACATGGGAGCAGCCAGTGGTCCCACACTGGTCATAATACAGGAGGAACAAGGACACTTCTGCTGAGTTGAGGCATCCTGGTTGTGGTTTGTCTCCATGCATGCTTTCTTGGCTCACCTCCCACCCTGCGCCAAGGGCTTGGGGTTCCGGTGTGTGGCCATACTGCCCCTTCAGTGGAACTCACTCTCAGATAGCCTGTGACCTCAGAAGTGGAAGTGCGTGGAGGAGCTGCTATGGGAAGAGCAGAGCCAACCCCGCCTGCCTCCTCTCTGATGGGAGATTTGTCGTGTCCGAGCCTCTGCATGTCTCGCCTGAACCTTTGCCAGCCCCAACTTGAGCGAGGGACACACGCCCTCAATGAAGGTGCAGGCTGGGAGGTTGGCCGAGTCACGTGATGATGGCCCAGGGTTGCTTTTAATACATGAAATGAGCGTGTGTTTGTTTTAAAACGGCTTTTAAACTTAAACAAATAATGACAGACTGTTCAAACAGACTTCGGAAATCGCCCTAATCAGGATGTTTGAGAAACAAGAAGACTCCATGAAAGTAGGTTCAACCTCGGGGGGTGAAGTGAGTCGCCCCCTAGTCCTGCAATCTGATCAGTAATTCACGAAAAAACTCGGGGAAACATTATGTTGTCACTTCCCATCTCCACCTAGAACCCAGAGCAGGTGCATTTCAACGCATGATTCCTATAGAAATCACCAACCACCTTCAACACTAGAAACCGTCTCCGTAATGGGCTTGTGAGATGCCAAGCTGGCTGACCCTCCACAGGGAAAGGCAGGCACGGGGGGGTGCTTCATGTCCGGTGCCACATCTATAATGGCTTTCAGTGACCTCTGGTAATCTTCACATCAACCAATTTGAAGTAAACGAGGCCGGCCCAGGGTTGGGTGATTGGCTCAAGGAGCTGGATTTCACCCCAGACTCGCCTCCAAGTACAATCCCTTGCCCAAGAGTCAAGGGATGTCTCTGCAGCTCATTTCTCTTGGAGATGACATTTTTATTCATAATAGACATCCAAAATGCCTGTCGGATCCCTTCCAGGCGCTGCTGTCTCTGTGAGGGCTGTGGTGGGGCATCACTGGGAGGGGCATTGGGGACGGCATTTCTTTTGCACCTGGTGCTGTGAACCAGGCAGACTGGGAGAAGGTCCCAGTCAAAACTGTGTCCCTGCTTCCTCTACTCTCCCAGGATGGCTCCATGTCCAGAAAGGCCAGAGGATCAGGGACCCGGACCAGTTCAGATTTTGCTATTCAGTCAGTGACTAAAGGAATTCAGGGCCCATCCTTGTTCTTTTGAAGGTCAAGCCACAATGCAAACAGGGTCAGTGGCCAGGAAAAATGGGGGCATCCTTTGCCTGTCCTCAGAGAGAAGCATGGAGGAGGGACTGTAAGATGTTGGCATCTGGGTCTGTGGAAGCCTGGGGTGCTGTCTGAAGAGACACAAGTGTCCCTGCTTCTGATCGGTCCTGACTCCCTCCTGCCATGTGTGTCCCCAACAATGTCCAGACAAGGTGTGTTTCTTGGCAGTCATGTTTGTGCCTCAGTTTTGCACTAGGAACACTAAGCATACTTCATGTATGTCCAAATTTAGCTACATTTTAATAGATTTTCTTTTCTTTTTTGTAAAAAAGAAGAAAATCACTGTACCCTCTCCTGGGCAAAGCGAACCCAGTGTCTCTGAAGACTCAGAGCAGTTACTTCTTGCGTGACTGATTTGACCAGCTTTGCAGGATGCTGGGTGGGCCCTTTGTCCTGCTGTCAGTGGTCACTGCGCCAGCCCGACTGGCATTGGGGCCAGATGCTTGCTGTTGGAATATGCCCTGCGTTGAGCAGCAGCTCTGTCCTCAACCCACTTGATGCTAGTAGCAGCCCCACTCCAAATCGTTAAGACTAAAAATGTTTCTAGACATTTCAAATGTTGCCTGGGGGAGGGGGAGGGACAAGACCACCCTCAGAGTGATCCACTGCCTGAAACCCTTGCTGCCTTTTTTAACAGATGCCTTTGGGAGCAGGGCAACCCTGAGAGTGAAGCTAGCTCAGTACAGCCCCTTGTGGTTGCAGGAAGCAACTGCAGCGACTGTCCCTTCTAGGAATTTATTTGAAACACAACTGAGCAAGCAGACAAGAATTTGTGTGCATGGATATATCGTAATATTGTTATAACTGCAAAATTAAAGTATCCAAATGAGGAACTGGTCTAATAAAGTACGACATATACAAGGGTACTTCAAAAAGTTCACAGAATATGGAATTAGAATATAAGCTTATTTTGGTGCAAAGCAAGATTTATTTATTTGAAAGGCAAAGAGACAGGGAGAGAGGGAGACAGAGAGAGAGATATCTTCCATCCACTGGCTCACTCCCCAAATGACTCTAACAGCCAGGTCTGGATCAGACCAAAGCCAAGAGCCAGGAATTCCATCTGGGTCTCTCAAGTACTTGGGCCATCTGCTGCTTTCCTCAGGTGCGTTAGCAGGGAGCTGGATCAGAAGTGGAGCAGCAGGGACTCAAAGCAGAACTCTGATATGCGTTGTTGGCACCAAGGAGGCAGTTCAACCTGTGCATATTTTTAAATATTTTAATAAGTGAATATTTCAATATTTTAAATAAGTGAATATTTTTTACAAGATTGTCGCAAAGAAGCAGTGTGCACGAGCATTCTCTCCAGTGCCTGGCGTGCCATAGGCCGTCAGCGAGGGAGCGGGGAAGCCATCGTCCTCACTGCTGTTTTATTGTCTTACGAGTGGCCGTGGGAGTGAACACTGCAGGGCAGCCAGTGTTCTCCAGCTGCTCTGCTGTTTCCTTGTTTCTCCTCAGCTCTCCGGGTCTCGTGCGTCTGTATGTAGCGTGTGTACCGTCTAGCCTGCTCCGTGAGACAAGAGCCTCGCGGGATGGGAAGCTTTCTTCCGTCTCATGCCCTGCTGTCTCTCGGAGGCGCTAGCAGGTGGATGTGTTTGTAATCGCTATTTCTTGAGGGAATGAAAGAAAGTGGTCCCTCAATGACTGCCTCTAAAGAGCATTCTCCCTTTCCCTGCCAGGCTTCCAAGGGTGCCCAGGCACAATGCCTCTCTCTCTGGGTCGGGTTCTGTGCTCTCTCCCCCACCCCCTCTAATACCCATTCTTTCTCTCCCCACCCCCGCCCCCTGCAGGATGCCTTCGTGGAACTGTACGGCCCCAGCGTGCGGCCTCTGTCAGACTTCTCCTGGGTGTCTCTGAAGACTTTGTTCAGCCTGGCCCTGATAGGAGCTTGCATCACCCTCGGTGCCTACCTGGGCCACAAGTGAAGACACCAGGCCTGCCCCCCACAGATATGCAAACAGTTCACGAAAGCAGGAGACATGATATGCATTGTCAGTGCCGCACCATGCAACGCAGCTGGCTCTGTGAAGCGAGAGCCAGCAAGCCCCACGCGTACACAAAACAGCTTTCAGGCAAAATGTCGAATCAGCTATTTACTGCCAAAGGGAAATACCATTTATTTTTTACACTTTGAAGAAAAAAAGATTTATTTATTTAAGACAGTCCCATCCAAACTCCTGTCTTTGGAAACCTTCCCACGAGTGGCCCGAGCACTCCTTGTGCGGCTGCCCCCGGTGCCCCACACCCGTGGGCGTAGATTTGCTGGCCGTGTTCTTGGCCGCACTGAGCGACCATCTGAAGAGCAAGAAAATGGACCCAGGGCTTGACCCCGGCAAGCCAGCTCTCGGACCTGTCTAGGCTGGGAGGAAGGTGTCTTTCCGACCTGCATCTACCTGCCCTGGGGCCTGGGACGTCAACTGGGAAGTCCTCATTTCCTTGGCCTCAAGAACACACACTTGGCCCGTGACCCACATGGTCCAGACCCAGTTGCAGGAAAGGAAAACAAACAAAAAATACCTGGGAGCTTCAGACGGACGTGGCCCCCGCTGCCCTTCCCACGCCCAAGGACGGCTGCGGGAACAAAATGCCCTTAAACCATAGGAAAGTATTTTTTTAAGCTACCGATTGTGCCGAGAAGCGTTTCAGCAATGTATACCATGTCATCCAGTACCTTAAGCCCGGATTGTGTATATTCGTATATTTTAGATACGCAGTGCCCGCCGCCCAGTACTGGCTGTGTCTGAGCCGGAGACAGCATCCTCTGGAGTTCAAGGCAGGGGACGTTTCGGTGACTTCTTCAACACAGGAAGGCTGGCCCAGAGCGTCAGGCTGCCACAAGTGCCTGCATTCCGGAGACGGCGTCTGTAGAAGCTGCCTTGTGTCCGGCTCTGGGGCCTGGCCCTGGAACTGAGCCTGGGCACCCGCAGGCTCCTGGTGGGGATTTTTCAACAGAGCGGTGCGGTCCTCGAGTGTTTGGAAGCTGATGCAGCTCAGAATTCCACTGTCAAGAAGGAGCAATAGTGGGACTTGGCCCTGGGCCTGTTGCGCTCGGGCCGGCAGGCAGGCCTGTTCTCTGGTAGAGCGTGGAACCTGGGGCCACAGCTCCCCTAAAGACTTCGTCACTGTGGAGGCAAGGAAAGAGGCCGCGTGCGTCTCCTGGCAGAGGGACGTAATGGAGACTGAGCAGCCGCCACCGAAACGGGGTGCGGCCCGTGGTGGCCGAGGCACAGGTGCATTGGCTGCTCGGCCGTGCGCCTGTCTGTGCAGTTTAAAGCAAGGTTTTCAATGACTTTGAGTAGGGTCATGAGCCCTAAAGGAAGTGTTGAAATGAGGTGTCATGGATTAATTGACCTGTGTCTGTGGAATTAACATGTAAAACATTATCTTGTCATTGGAGGTTGTTTTTATTTGAAAACCTGATAGAAGAAAAAAAAAATAGTTCCAGGTGTGGAATGTGGGGATTATCTGTACATCCTGGGGCATTAAAAAGGAAGAAAAAAAACCAGTGGTGGAAAACTGTGGAGAAGTAACAGAAAAAGTGAGGTCTCTGGCTAATAAACTAGCAAATACTTTCGCAAGTTTAGAATCAGCTTTGAGACATTCATGGAATAACTTTGTGGCATTATTGCATTATATACCATTTATCTGTATTAACTTTGGAATGTACTATGTTCAATGTTTGATGCTGTGGTTGATATTTCGAAAGCTGCTTTTTGAAAAAATACATACATCTCAGCATTTTCTGAAATAATTGTATTTAGTTATGGCCTGCACACTATTTGTTAGCAAAAACGATCATTTTTCCATTGGAGATGCTTGTCTCTCGTTCCTTCAGAAGCGTTTCTGAAAGGACGGGTCAGCCCTGAGTCTCGGCTGCCTGAGGAAGCCTGGGTTTTGCTGGCCACTGGGAGGCTCGGATTTCACCGAGTTGCATGCAGCTCCATGTCGACAGAACTGCTCCGGGCTGTGGATGCATCCCCTTGTCCCTTTGCCCTCGTGCCTTGAAGGGTTCCTTGGCCCTGGGCAAGTCACCATTTTGCTCACATAATTTAGGATTCCATGCATGTGTGGGTAAACCCGGGAGATTCATTTGGTTGCAAACCCAGTGGGGAAGTGACCCAAGGATGGACATCTGGCTCTGACGGCTGCCCCCTTTAGGCGACCTGTTTTGATGCAGACCCACCCCGACCCCCCCGAAGGAGGCTTTTCTGCCGCTGCCCTTCGGGGCCTCCTGAGTGCCGTGGGGCTGCCACTTCGCAGGGAGGGCAAGAAACCCACGGTTTGGAGCCAGACCTCCCTGGCGGGCCTCAGGGAATGGGACGATCAGACCTTTGAATGATTCTAATTTTTAAGCAAAATATTATGTTATGAAAGGTTTACATTGTCAAAGTGATGAATATGGAATATCAAGTCCTGTGCTGCTATCCTGCCAAGATCACGTTCATGGAGTCAGTGTGCCGGACACGCCGAGGCGCGAGACCCTCCAAGCTGCTTCAAAAGTCGCCACGAAGAACACGGACAGTTTTCATAACAGAAAGCCTGCTCTCATCTTTTATTGTTTTTGTTATTGTTGTTCAAATTGGGATTTGCAGAGTATCTGAAAAAAAATGTACATATAAACAGAATGGTCCAGGGGGCTACCCTCCAGGCTGGTTTGTCCTCAATGCACCCAGCCACCTGGCGTGTACAGTCCCGTGGCTGTGCCCACTCCACGGGGAGTCGATGTTGCAGTTTTCCTTGTTGTTAAAGACATACTAGAAGCAATGAATGTGTATAAAAGCCTCAACTACTCATTTTTTTTCCTCTTTCCTTTCTTCATTGGCTCAGTTAGTTGGCAACTGGGCAACAGAGAACCATCCTGAAGTGTTTCGTGTTGAGAAGGGATTCATACCCAAATCTTAACACACAGAGAGGAGTCCTCCTTCTGTTGGCCCAGGTCCCAGTTAAAGAGGACACCTTCACTTTGCAAATTGTGGTCAAGGGCTTTAAAAAAGAAACCAGGAGGCAAAGAGCATCCAAGAACCTCCCTGTTCCTCCCAAGCCTCACCATCCCAGCACTCAAAGAAAAGACCCAAACAATGTAGAGAAGAGTTCATCCCAGCTTTTGCAGATTTAAGATTTGGATTAAAGTCCCACTTAGAATTAAGGAAGCACTTTTCTGTAGTTCAAACGAAACCCCACCATCTCTGCCCCAGCTCACTGTGTCTCTGTGCATTCACGTGTGCCCTGCCATTTACATGTGACTTTTATTTCATTAAGAAATGTTTGTTACCTATCACCTGGAGACCTAGCCCAGGCCCAGTATTGGGGACAGCAGGAAGGGATGATATATCAGAAGGGTAAGTTGTAATAATCAGGACTAAATGTAAATCATTAGGGCAGTCCCAACAAATGTCTAGCTTTCACATCCCGAATCTAGGGAATGAACAGAATTGCAGTAGTCTATATTTGTAAAGCTATAGTAAAACAAATAATTTATAAATGTGAACTTAAACTAATTCCAATTGTCCTTTGAAGGCAATGGCTGTTTTTATACTTTCTTATCACTTATAGTTAGTAACATACACCTCCTCTATCAGAAAAAAAACAGGAAAGACTTGAAACATAAGCTGTTCTAAGGAAATCAGGGCTTCAGTTGAAATCCTATTCTGATCTTCCTCCGTGGTGTCCTTTGCAGCCCAGACAAATGTGGTTGCACACTTTTTAAGAAATACAATTCTACATTGTCAGGCTTATGAAGGTTCCAATCAGATCTTTATTGTTACTCAATTTGGATCTTTCAGGGATTTTGCTTTTTAATTTCTACAAGACAAAGGACATTTGTTGTGGGTGGGAGGGGAGAAGAATTTTTAAATGAGTAAAATATTCCCAAGATTGGATCAGGGAATGGAGGTTTTCAGAGAAGCCAGATGTATGGGGGGGGGGGGGGGTGAGGGATCTTTAGAAGGGTCCGTGTCATTCCTCCATAAAGGCCCTTATGCAACAGATGAGAAACATTTTTTTAAGTCCTGTGGTGCTTTCAGATTTGGAGATACTGGCACACTCAAAGGCCAGCTCAGTGTGGCTGCGCAGGGGTATAAAGTTTAAAGCTGGGTGTGTGTAATGGGAATGTTAGCACAAAGTTTGCAGTTGGAACTAACAGGATATTTAATGACAATGACAACTTTCTGTTGGTAGGAACATCTGTTTTAAAATATTTATTATGCAGGACACAGAAAACATTTAAATAGAATGAAGTTGAATAAAACAATGGAAAGCTAAATTGGGTCCCTTAGCCTTACCCAACGACTCATTCTGTTCTGTGCCTTTGGACAACCATGACCTGGGACAACCATGAAATTGGGCACAAAGAAAACCAGATGGAATATGGATGGTACTGCAACAGTTGCGTCAAGACGATCCCAGAAAAATAACTTAAAACCAAATTCCTGTTGTTAATAATTTTTCTCTATGTACCAAGATCAGCACCCTCTGTTAAGCACTCATGGAAGATGGAATGTTAATAAATACGACCGTAGTGTTGACACTCCATAATGCCATGCACCTAAATATCTTGGAAAATCTGCTCTGCGGCCTCCAGCTAGCTCATTTCATTAAGTTTTGCCCTCCAAGGTAGCATTTGAAGGAGTGATGGCTGATCAAATTTCCTTTGGGGAAGCTTCCTTCTGGTGGTTGTGTTTGTTATTTTCTTTAAACTAATTTTTGCTTTTGTTTTTGAGTTACTGGGGTTATTTTCATTTTAAATAAAGTAACTGTACAATATGTATTTTTGTATTGAAAGCTTTTGTTGTCAAGATTTTCATACTTTTACCTTCCATGGCTGTTTCTAAGATTGATAATTCTTAGCAGTGGCTCATAGCCTGAAATACTGTATACACCAAAAATGTATGGTAAGCATACTTTACATAGTTAAGGTAAAGTAAGTTTCCAGTTGGCCACCATTAAATATAATGGCACTTTGTGTTGTTGGGAAAAGTCACATTGCAATTAACCTCTCCTTGTCTGTCCAGTTAATTTCGTGAAGAAAAATAAAGTACAGTGTGAGATATTGGTTGTGCCCTGGAGTTGTTTATAATGTGTTAACATGATTTTACCCTGCCATTCGTCGTCATTAAACAGGACCTTGGAAAGCCTCCCTAACAAGCCACTAGAACCATCATGAACCCCACTCTAATGAAGCCCTCAGGGACTAGAATACGGTTGCCTTACAGGTGAAACCACCTTGGAGGGAGGCCCTTTTGTTTCCCAGCCCTCCGGGGTAGGTTCGATGGACCAGTGTTGAGCTCTCCATGACAGAGTGGCTGTTGCTGTTGGGTGTGTTCATCCACTGGCACTGCAGATGCCAGCTTCTGCAGTCCTGGAGATGATCGCTTGTGGCAAAAGGAAGGAAGCAGCTGAAATTCAAGTTTTGAAATTAACATTTTAAGAAAACCAAAGCAGTCACTTGCTTTGGAGCTTGCGAAGCCCAAGTTAGAAGGGATGCAATGTTTCCCTTTTATGTTTGAATCCTGATACACTGAGCTTCGACTTCCAAGTCTCTTCCCTTTGACTTAGTTCAAGGACGCTGGTGGCAGCATCCTTCTGGTGAGTGTCAAGCACACTTCCACCTAGTCTCACACCTTGGAAGGGAGGTATTGGAAAACCAGGACTCAGAAGTTGAACAATACACCCACGTTCTCAACCATCCTAAGTGACAGAGGCAGGTTTTGAGCCCTGATCTGGCCAACTCCAAATCCAGTGCCCCATCATTTCAATCAGTGCTTCCACACTAGTGTATGGGGGGTCACGGGGACACAGTTTTCCAAGGGAGCCCGGCATGGGATGTTGAAAGGAACCAACGTTCTCAACACTCATGGATAAGCTTTCATAAACTAATCTTGAGACCACCCTGGAGATCAGACCACTTCTCACCCTCTTCCCCTTTCACAATTGTCTATCGCACTTCTCAAGAGAGAGGCATGCTGTTCACTCTTTCTGAATCCTATTTTGAAGCACTGTGTGGGCTTGCTGGAGCTGCCTCATTCTGGCCGGGGGAACCAGCTCTGCTCCTCCATTCCCAATTGCATGTCATTGAAGTCAGGTTGGTAGCTTCAGATTGGCCAAAGTGGAAGTATTGACACCACAGGAATGAGCAAGCACCCCAGGCAGATCTTTTTCCTTTATTTTTCTTTTTCTTTCCCCCAACTGCCTCCCAAGGAGTCAATCGATCTCCATACCACTTGCCTTGGAGTATGAAAACCTTTGTGGTTACGAAAAGACATGGTTTAAAATCCTGGAGAATATTAGATTCTTGTAACTGGGAAATAAGTCCTTATACAGGTCTATTTTTTTTCCAATTCTTTGCTTTCAACTGTCCCTGCATTTTTCATGTAATGTTGAGTGTTGTTTCATTGTGGTACTTAGATTCCATTGTATATAATTAAAAAGTGATGCAACAATTTTATTTTTAAATTTCAATTGTTAAAACAGCTTCTCAGACAAGCTTATTATTAGCATGTGTCACAATTCTATTTCAAACTAGCCTCAGGGGAAGAAGTTCCCAGGAAGCCAGCCAGTGCAGCCGTTCTCTTTTAGAATAGACACACCTAGAAAAAAAGCAATGGTGCCACACCAAGAGAAAGGCTAGATCCTGGTTGGCATAGTTAGCTGAGTAGCTCAACCCCACGGCTCAGCCATCCTATTTCTTTTTAATTTATTTTTTATTTATTTCCCCCCAAAGAAACATTTTATTTAAGGAATACAGACTTAATGCATTTCATAAGTACAACGTCAGGAATATAGTGATTGATACCCACCCTCCCACACCTCCTCCTCTTCCCTCTCCCATTCCCAGTCCCATTCTCCACTAAGATCCATTTTTGATTAACTTTGTACACAGAAGAACAACTCTATACTAAGTAAAGAGTTCGACAATTTGCACAGAAAAAAAACACCATAAAACAAAAAACAAAGCAAAACAAAACAAAAAAAACTATTCCTCAACAGTTGTTGAGCGAAGGGCTATTATAAGTTATTGCATCTTGAAGTTATTTTCACTTCTTTTTTTTTAGACACTTAATTAACTTTATTTTTTTTAAAGATTTATTTATTTACTTGAGAGACATAGTTACAGACAGTGAGAGGGAGAGACAGAAAGAGAAGTCCTCCATCCACCGGTTCACTCCCCAGATGGCCACAATGGCCGGAGCTGCGCTGATCCGAAGCCTGGAGCCAGGAGCTTCTTCTGGGTCCCCCATGCGGGTGCCAGGGCCCAAGCACTTGGGCCATTTTTCACTGCCTTCCCAAGCCACAGCAGAGGGCTGGATAAGAAGTAGAGCAGCTGAGACTCGAACTAGTACCCATATGGGATGCTGGCACTGCAGATGGTGGCTTTACCCACTACACCACAGCACCAGACCCCACTTAATTAACTTTAAAGAAGCACCCAAGAATGATACATCTTTTGTGAGCACTTAGACATGATTTCAACACAAATCCTTAAGGACAGAAGTCCTGCATGGGAAGTTAGTGCACAGTGTCTCTTATTAATTTAACAACTAACACTCTTAATGTATGACATCAGTGATCACCCAAGGCTCTTAACATGAGCTGCCTAGACTATGGAAGCCTTTTGAATTCACAATCTCTGTCAGTATTTAAACAATTCCATAGGCCAGCACCGCAGCTCAATAGGCTAATCCTCCGCCTGTGGTGCCAGCACACCGGGTTCTAGTCCCAGTTGGGGTGCCGGATTCTGTCCCAGTTGCCCCTCTTGCAGGCAAGCTCTCTGCTGTGGCCCAGGAGTGCAGTGGAGGATGGTCCAAGTGCTTGGGTCTTGCACCCCATGGGAGACCAGGATAAGCACCTGGCTTCTGGCTTTGGATCAGCGTGCACCAGCCACAGCGGCCATTGGAAGGTGAACCAACAGCAAAGGAAGATCTTTCTCTGTGTCTCTCTCTCTCTCTCACTGTCCACTCTGCCTGTCAAAAAAAATGCCATAAGCAAAATAGAAGTTCTCTCCTCCCTTTAGAGAAAAGTACCTCCTTCTTTGATGACCAATTCTTTCCACTGGGGTCTCATCCACCACGTTCCTTCATGTAGGACATTTTTTGCCACAGTGTCTTGGCTTTCCATGTCTGAAATGCTCTTTTAGACATTTTAAAAGGACCAGAATGCCTAAAGGGCTGATTCTGAGGTCAGAGTGCTATTTAAAGCAATTGTCATTCTATGAGTCTGCTATGTGGACTGCTTCCCATGTTGGAACATTCACTCCTTTTTAATTCTATTATTACCAGACCCTTAATCCTATCCATATAATCACTTTAACACTAAAATGGTATTTTTACCACCCAGCTTAAGGGGATTAGTAGTCCCATGGCAAGTTTTTAAACTGTACCCTTAGAAGTAAGTCCAGGCTGGCGCCGCGGCTCAATAGGCTAATCCTCCACCTTGCAGCGCCAGCACACCGGGTTCTAGTCCTGGTCGGAGCACCGGATTCTGTCCCGGTTGCCCCTCTTCCAGGCCAGCTCTCTGCTGTGGCCAGGGAGTGCAGTGGAGGATGGTCCAAGTGCTTGGGCCCTGCACCCCATGGGAGACCAGGAGAAGTACCTGGCTCCCGCCTTTGGATCAGTGCGGTGCGCCGGCCGCAGCGCGCCAGCAGTGGCGACCATTGGAGGGTGAACCAACGGCAAAAGGAAGACCTTTCTCTCTGTCTCTCTCTCTCTCTCACTGTCCACTCTGCCTGTCAAAAAAACAAAATAAAAGAAGTAAGTCCATAGGAATGTATGCAAAACTATACAGCTTTACAGTTACAAACTTCATACACTTCATAATTACAACTTTAGGAACATGGTGATTCTTCCCACTGTGCCCACCCTTCCACCCATTCTCCCAACGCCTCTTACACCTCCCTCTCTTATCCCCACTCATTTTTAACTGAGATCTATTTTCAATTGACTTTATTCACATATGTTTAACTCTAAGTTAAGTAAAGAGTTAGTATTAAAAAAAACTGTTCCTCAACCGTCAATACAAGGGCTGTTCAAGTCATTGCTTCTTAAAGTGTAAATTTCACTTCTACATATTGCCTTTTAGGTGCTCTATTAGTTATCACAGGTCAGGGAGAACATTTGGGATTGGCTTATTTCATTGAGTATGATGTTTTCCAGATTCATCCGTTTGGTTGTAAATGACCAGATTTCATTTCTTTTTACCCCTGTGTAGTATTCTATAGTGTATATATCCCATAATTTTTTATCCACTCTTTAGTTGATGGGCATTTTGGTTGATTTCATGTCTTAGCTATTGTAAATTGCGCAGCAATAAACATGGGGTGCAGATAACTCTTTCATACACTGATTTCATTTCCCTTGGGTAAATTCCCAGGAGTGGGCTGGCTGGGTCTTATAGGAGGTCAACATTCAGATTTCTGAGGCATCTCCATACTGTCTTCAATAATGGCTTTACCAGTTTACATGCCCACCAATAGTGGACTAGGGTGCCTTTTTCCAAACATCCTCACCACCATTTGTTATTTGTTGATTTCCGTATGAAAGCCATTCTAAATGGGGTGAGGTGAAACCTCTCTGTGGCTTTGATTTGCATTTCCCTGATGGCTAGTGATCCTGAGCATTTTTTCATGTGTCTGTTAGCCATATGGATGTCCTCTTTTGAAAAATGTCTGTTTAAGTACTTTGCCCATTTTTTCACTGGGTTGTTTGTTTTGTTGTGGAGTTCTTGATCTCTTTACATATTCTGGTTATTAGTCCTTTATCAGTTACATAGTTTGCAAATAATTTCTACCATTCTGTCATTGCCTCTTCACTTTCGTGGGTGTTCATTTTGCAGTACAGAGGCTTCTCAATTTCATGTAATCCCATTTGTGAATTTTGGCTTTGATTGCTTGTGCCTCTGGGGTCTTTACCAAGAAGTTGTTGCCTATGCCAATGTCTTGCAGGGTTTCCCCCAATGTTCTCTAATAATTTGATGGTGTCAGGTTGTAGATTTAGGTTTTTAATCCATTTTGAGTAGATTTTTTGTAAGGTTTTAAAAGGTAGGGTTCTTGCTTCA